GATATCATGCCTTACATACAAAGATAGAAATGTTAAAATTAATGCATGAACATAAATTTTCACATGTTTCAAAGTAGAAAGTATGCAAAAAAGGGGGGACTCCCCCTACCCCCTAAAGCTACGTCCCTATTCGTTTATTAGTTGTCAAAGTTATTAGAGTCAAAAGGAAAGTGCATTATTACTGTAAGTGGAGAGAAAGTACGAACAATTATCAGCCGCTGTTAAAAAAGTATTTCATTCACAGGTGAAGCCAAAACAAATGACAAATTTCAGACCTTTGTCTACTGCGAAACTTGGGGACATTATAAACTTTCTTAAAATGATGTTTGGTGAAAACTGGAAAAGTACTCTAGAGTTAGCTTTCTGCAATATACTGACGAACAGTGAATCTATTATTGATAATCCTGAAAATGCCTGAACTGCTGTACTGAAGATGACATGGCGTGCATTTGGCAAATATTTAATTCAGTGGTGTCAAATTCTTTGTGACACAGCAATTAGCAGCTATTATGGTTAAGAATAAATTACAGTAATAAGAGCGCCGGAACAAAAAAGCTTCCAAATTTTCTCCCCCCACCCTGCCCAAATCGTGAGGACAACAAGTTGATAAAATATTTTTTTACTATTCTCAACTAAACTTACATTTTTCAATAAATTTTAGGTTTCATATTATAATCTCTCAAAATTCAAAAATTATGATCATATAAAATATGTAGCCCCTTAAAATCGAAGGGGGAATGAACATAAACTTTTTATGTTTATAATTTTTGAACGCTAAGATATTTTACTATGATATTCAAATTTATCGCTGAATATAAATCGAATAATACAAATAATATTTTACCAACTTTTTGCTTTCACGTTTGGGGCAGAGGGCGAAACCTTTGGGGCTTTTTTGTTCTCAGGCTCCAATTATAGCAAGTTTTTGCAAATTACCCTTATTTGAAATAAGTATAAACATATAAATGTTTGGAGTTTGCTCCATGTCTAGAAGTTAGCTATCTTAAAAAACCAAAAAATGCTGCATCCGCTCTTGGTTGCCAACATAAATCAAAGAATTAAAAATATCAAGATATGTTAAAATTTTGAAATATGGATTAGTCTGGTTTTGCGTGGGAGCTTTTCATATATAGGTAGAGCTCAGCTGTGAACTGAGCTCTGCCTATATATCTGTGTGACGTGAGGACCCACAACGATGTAAAAAATCTGATGTGTAACTACATCTGGTTAAAATTATGCATTTAAAAAAAAAAAAAAATTCGGATGTAGTTACATCCGAAAAATCTACAGATGTAGTTTCACGGATGATATTATACATCAATGAAATTTGGGATGTTATTGGACGGATGTTATTATACATCGATGAAATTTCGGATGTTGTTTTACGGATGTTATTATGCATGGCAAAAACGGATGTTATTGCCCTGACCCCAAAATTTGCATCGTATAATTTTATTAGTTTTGAAGTATGTTGAAAGTTTAAAAGCGAAAAAAGCATATTTTTTCTAAAGTTTTTTAATTACATACCATGTTTTTATCTTTGCTATTAAAACATGACAATACATTTTCTTTTTATAACTTTTTTAACATTTTACTTTTCATTTTTTCATTAATAATAGTAATATTTCTTTTGTTTTGTTTTGATTTTTGTTTTTGTTAATGTTTGCTTCAAATATATTCAAATCTACTTACATATATGAAATGTAGAAACATCAACTAAATACGTTTTTGTTCAAACAACAATTTTGAACATTCCAGTCTTAGTCAAATTATTCAATAATTTTAAAATGCTTTAAAATATAATTTACAACAACACAACATTAACTACAATAATACAACATAATTCTACATTAAAATTTTAATATTTTTGTATTTTATGCTTTTTTAAAGAGATGCAAGTATCAATCACAAAAAAATCTTTACAAATCATGTAAGGGAGGCAATCGCTTTATCACCCCCCCCCCCCCTCCTTCTATTGAACAAAGCTAATATTAACAAAAACGCTCACGTCATTTGTGGAATTTTGATGAAATTGGCTTCTCTGGTAATTAAGGCTAAAAACGCATGGTTTGCAAGCTTGTGGTTTAAACCACCGTTATTTAGTTATTTAAATAAATCTATTTTTAAATATATCTATAATTAATAGTTGTCAAATTCGATTGGTGCTTATATTTTCGTCGAAGATTTGACACATGTTACTTCTCGCAATGTTCTTATTTGCATTAAATTTTATTCATTTGCTGTTCAGCTCATTTGTCACACATTCTGCAGCCACTAGATGTTTTCATTGTTATCAAAAGAGTTTGGCGCAAGTTACTTCAACAGTGTCATGTCGAAACAAAGTTCAGCAATTTATCAAAAAATGCTTTAGTCAAAATCAGCTCTGGTAAAATTTTTTCGCGTACGCAAGCAGTCACCCGGATTTCAAAATGCCGGTTTGTTTCTACTTGACATCAATAATATAGATCAAAATAACAACCATCTCAACCTAAATCTTAGTCATCTCAATCACCAGAATCTATTCCAGTACCACCATCACCACCACCACCACCGACTTGACAAATGATGATAATTTAAAAGAGTCTTGTAAACTTTATAGTTTTAATAAAAAATATTGTATAAACCTTTATAAACTTGAGAATTTTTTACTGTTTTTATAAGCATTTCTTGTAAAGCTTTGGAGATATCAATAAAAGTGATTAGCATGCACACGCATTCTTTTGAATAAATTTTATACCAGTTTTACTGCTATATTTTTAAGATTTTCTTTTTACTTTCACAGTATACACTATTACGTTTTAACTAAGTCATTTATAGCATTTAGATAAAATTAACGTAACTTATATAAGTAACGTTAATTTTATCTAAATATCGAAGGTCTCATATAAGGTCGAAGCGCCCTTAGTCGCCGTAAGATTCCTATGGTTAGATTATCTTTTGCAAAGGTTGTTCTAAATATAAAATATATTATGTTTATCACTTTTTTTAATTAAAAGAAACATATAAAAGTTATTCTACTTTTATTTGTAATGTTTTTACTTCTATATCGGTTGCAATTTACAAAACACTGCTACTGCAACAAATATCGATTTGCTTGCAATTTACAAAATACTGCTACGGCGATCAATACTTTATTAGATTAAACCAAAAAAAAAGCAACCGAAATTGCTTGATAAATATATGTTTTGATAAAAAAAAAATTATTATGTTTAAAATCGGTTAAAAATTATAAAACTTGGACTTCATTCAGTATTGTTTACACTTTCTCTGGTTCTTTTATGCGAAATATTCTTAAAGACATTTCTTTAAAACGGAGAAATCTGTGATTTCTTATTAATATACTAAGTTCTAAACTTTTTAATCATTGTATATGATGTTGAGAAAATTTAGTATCTAACTTGGTAATATAAAATGTAGAAACTTTTAAAAGAACCTAAATGAGTATAAGTTGATGTTTTATTTACAATTTTTATTTACTAATATAAAGATTTATACTGAAGGCTCATACGTTGCGCATAAGAAGATTTTTTCATGTACTTTTTTCTATAAAGAATTTTTTTTTTCAATTATCATAAAACGATATTTTTTAATTTCTCACAAAAATTATATCATAAATAATGCAGCAAAAATTAGATGAAATCACTCTTGCGAGAAAACAGCCACCTAAAGTCGATAAAACTTTAGAACGGGTTGCATGCTTTTTTACAAACAACTTGTCGAAACTTTTGCATAGTCGCTGGTACCGAGTGAATTAAACAAATGAAAAAAAAAATAACTTTTCACATCTCCTTCATTTACAAGAACTATAGAAACCACTTTTATCTTCTACTTTCCCATCATTGCAATATTTTTTGTTTTTTGATTACATAAGTTATATAATAGTACCAAATTACAAAAAAATCCGTAAATATATTATTTTTTTGTAGTAGTTTTTAAATTTCTTTGACGATTCTTTCAATAACTAACCTATTTCATTAACACTTTATTACCTAAATGCTCTCTTATGGTGAGGCTTTCTTTAAAAACAACCATATTATCATAACGGTTGTTATTTGTGATAAAGATTTTTAAAATGACCTGCTGGTTTAGTTTTATTATTTCAAACCCCTCCTCCCTTCCTTCTAAATGAAATAAATCATTCAGAATAAAAAAGTGCTAAGCTGACACATTTTTTTACTTTTTATTAAATACTTAAAAATATTTTTTTATAAATGCGACGTTTAGTTTCAGAAATAATTTAACTTTACTCTAACCAAGCATTTCGTAACGAGAAAACAATCAGCAAGTTACCTACAAAACCTAACAAAAAGATTTGACCTTTGTGCACTGGCGCGTAACGGTTTATCGCGGCGGAACGCGGTAAAAACTTCAAGAACAAAAAAGTCTCGAGATTTTAAAAAATGAAAAAAACATCTTTCCATACATAATCCTATGTCAAATATTTTCCATCCAAAGTTAAATTTTTAATATTTATACTTTTTATTCTAGTGATTATATCAGCAATTAAATGCCAAAGTATTTTTTTAACTAAGATACTCTATTATAAATAATCATATTGCAAACATATATTTATATATATATAAACAAAATATATGTATGTATATGTCAAACTATTTGGGTTTTTAAAACTTTTATTTGCCAATTAAAAATTTCGATATTTAATATTTACGTAATAAATCAGGTGTTAATAGTTGTATATAGTTGTATGATAACTTATTATAAATAACAATAGTTGTATGATATAAATAATAATAGTTGTAAGATAATTTATTATAAATAACAATAGTTGTATGATATAAATAATAATAGTTGTACGATAACTTATTATAAATAACAATAATGATAGTCTTTTCAATAGTCTTTTCTTTCTTTCAACCACTACACTTAGAAAAGAAAATGCACATAAAGATTATAGAAGGCTTTAAACCACGTTGTGATCTTTATAAAAACCAGTTTATTTTCTGAACAATAGAAATACGGGTATTTCTTTTGTTGAAAAAGTCGTCATATTCAGAGTTTTCAACCCTTATATCATTTGAAATACTGCTCACTTGAAGGAGTATACCGAAAGTTAACCAATGTCAGAGCGAGATATTACAATGCCCAAAGCATTTCTAGTAAAAAACAACAGAAAAGGCGGAGTTCCAACAAAATCTGAAGTCGAAGGTAGCTTTATCTATCTGCAATATTAGTATGTAAAATAGTATTAATAGAACTTAAACTTTAAAACTTGAAACTTTAAACATGCAACTTGTTTTGTTGTAACGAAAAAAAATTGCATTAAAAAAAATTGCATGAAACTAATATATACATATACATATATATATATATATATATATATATATATATATATATATATATATATATATATATATATATATATATATATATATATATATATATATATATATATATATATATATATATATATTGCTTTTATTTTTCCATAGTTTGATAATTATATCATAAAAAAAATAAAAACGCAATATTGCACCTATGCCATGTGTCAATTTTTTTTTAGAACCGGTCCTTGATCAGCAAGTTCCATACTTTTACCATCCTCTTTATTATCCACCGACCGATTACTGTAATACATACATTCCTTCGATATGGCCAAGACATTACCCGGATATAAACTCGTGGAACAATTACCATGAAAAACCTAATAACTTTGCTAATAGCTCTGCTATTCCTGGATTAAATCTTCCGCAACCCTTAAATCTTGGACCACAAATTGCGGCTCCTTTTTCACACAATCCGTTTAGTCTTAACAACCAACCAATCAACCAACAGCAAGCAAATGTTGCTAATTTATTTCAAAACCATCACGTACAATCGGATCAAAGCTTTCAAATTTCGCAGTTTATACATCAGCAACAACATCAAAATTTTGTACAACAGCAAGACCAATATGTCAACGAACAAGAAAAAGGAAAACGCGATTTATATAACGAAATATTTGACCTTGACAGTAATGCAAGCAAAAAGTCTCATCACATGTTATTACCCAATACTATAGCAAACTTAGGAAATATTAAACAAGAAATGATGGATAACGATGACGTGTTATCTACAGACTCTTCAAATGCTTGCAGCGAAAGTAGTTCAAATGCAGTTGTTGACAATATTATTAATAGTGCAATCTCTCCAACAATGGTTAAAAATGAACAAATGAAAAACTTCCCTCCTAAAAATCTTAACGATTTATCTCCTAAAAATGAAGATGGGGGAGACAAAATATACCAATGCGAGTTCTGCAATAAAAACTTTACTAGATCTTGGAACTACCAGCGTCACGTTTTAATACATTCAGGAAGAAAACCACACAAATGCGAAATTTGTCCAAAAGCTTTTGTATTAGCAGCTCATTTGAAAATCCATATGCGTATACATACAGGTTCTTCCCAGTCCTTTATATTTTACGATTTTTAAAATGCATGTATAATAGTATTTACAAGTATTTTCTATTTATTATAAACTGCATTTGATAATGCCGTATTTTTACCGCAAAATAATTATTTTATTTTACAAATATACATATTTATTATTTATTATAAAGAAATTTTTTCATTAAGTAATGCCGTATTTTTATTGCAAAATAATCGTTTCCAATTAATTTTTAATTATAGTTTTTAAATCTATAATAATTGTAGTTTTTAAATTTATTTTAGGAGAAAAACCATACAAATGCACAGTTTGTGGTCGCGGTTTCGCGCAACTGACTAATCTTCAGCGGCACGTGTTAACCCACACAGGACAAAAACCACACAGGTGTCAACATTGTAATAAAGGTAAAGAAAACAACTTAATTTTAATTGAACCAATTTTTTTTAAATAAATTTATATATATATATATATATATATATATATATATATATATATATATATATATATATATATATATATATATATATATATATATATATATATATATATATATATGTATTGCATACATTAATTGGCTTAAGCCAATTATGTGTATAGTAAGATATTAGAGCTTCTAACATCGTGTGCAATCCTGTCCGCTCTCTGTATGCTATCTTTTTAACACGACTTCTTCTGTCTTTTACTCTAACATTCTTCATTCTTCCTAAACTCACTTTACTCTTGGTCCGTAGAGCAGGTAATGACGCTATTTGTTAGCTGAACTTGTCTTTGCGGTCCTTGGTAATGTGGCCTCCGTATGGCAATTAGCTGGAGGAGGATAAACCACAATACCTATATGTATATATATATATATATATATATATATATATATATATATATATATATATATATATATATATATATATATATATATATATATATATATAGATATATATTTATATATAGATATATATAGATATATAGATATATATTTATATATATATATATATATATATATATATATATATATATATATATACATATATAGATATATATAGATATATATAGATATATATAGATATATATAGATATATATATATATATATATAGATATATATATATATAGATATATATATATATATATATATATATATATATATATATATATATATATATATAGATATATATATATATATATATATATAGATATATATATATAGATATATATAGATATATATAGATATATATATATATAGATATATATAGATATATATATATAGATATATATATATATATATATAGATATATATATATAGATATATATATATAGATATATAGATATATTAGTTGTTTTCTATAATATAAATATTATAGTATAAACATTAGTTATTATAAGTTTAAACAAATGCCATCAGCAATGTTGACCATGTTTATACTAATACATTAATTAGGTTACCTAATTAACAGTATGAATTGCACATTCTAACATCTAGTGCAATATCTGTCCGCTTTCTCTATGCAATCTTCCTAACTCTACTTCTTCTGACTTTCGCTCTGATTCATTCGTTTTTCTCTAAATTATTTACTCTTGGATTGCGAAGCGGTTTGTGATGCTCTTTAGTGAGCTGAACTCGTCTTTGCGGGCCTTTGTAATGTGGCCTCTGTATATCATTATCCGGACGAGGATAAACCACAATACCAGTTTATGTTTTCTAAAACAAACGTTTTTTTTATATTTTTTTATTTAATATTTTTCATTAGGATTTGTATCATCAAGTGATTTAAGAAGGCACATACGAATTCACACAGGAGAAAAACCTTACCAATGCCAAGCCTGTTCAAAAGCGTTCACCACTTCTGGTAATCTTCAAAGCCACGTTCTTACTCATACAGGGGTTAAACCATACAGTTGTTCAACTTGCAAGTGGAAGTTTATAAGTAGTTCAAACTTGCGTACTCACATCAGAACTCATCATTGCAATGAAGATAATCAAATGGTGCCTGAAAACCTGGGTGTCCCTACACCTCTTGGTCAAGAAGAAAGGGTTTATTTACCGTCTGTAGTTAAATCGGGCTGAAATATTCATCAATGTTTTTTAACTATTTATTACTGGTTATATAGTTTTATGAGTTTTATACTTATTCATATATAAGTAATAAATTTTGTTCAAGAATTCATTGTGAATGACGCTGGTAGCGTTTGTGGATGCTAACAAAAACTATTATGTCCTTCAATTAAATTACGATTATTTGTTTAATATCTATATTATTAGAACTTTGTGATGTTTGATTGCAGCCTTTAATTTGACCTTTCAAGTGTTTTTGAAATATTGTAGTCGCAAGAAACAGCTGATTTTTTATGAAACATACGGATTTTTTATACTTGTTTAAAAAAGAAAAGAATTTTTAAAATAGTAATTTAATAGAGTTCAATTTTTTTTAAATTTAAAGTAAAAAATTTAATTTAGTTCTAGGTGATCGCTGTTAGATTTAAACAATACTTGACTCAGACTCCTAAACTCACAAATAAATTAATATTAAAGTTTTTCGAAAAATATAGATAATACTATATACTTCACTGTGTACTTAAGGACCTTGCCTTAAGTACACAGTGTGTGTACATATATATATATATATATATATATATATATATATATATATATATATATATATATATATATATATATATATATATATATATAAAATAACAAAGTTAAAAAAAGAAATAAAATATTTGATTTATTAAAGCTTTTTTTTTTACCCATTAAACCCAACCTCTTAAACCCATTTAAGAGGTAGGGTTTTACACACACACACACACACACACACACACACACACACACACACACACACACACACACACACACACATGTACTGTTTACATATGCATATATTCACGTTATTAAATTTTTTTTTTAATTTTCTCACGTTTAAAATGTTTGGTGATCAGTAACCTGCTTTTTTGTCACTAACTGCTTTTTTGTTACTCAAGTTATTTTTTTTATTGACTATAATATTTTTAAAGAAATTTTCATTTGTAAGCATCATCAAAGCTCAAATAACTCAAGTTTTTGCTTAAAAAAAGTGTTCACTCATCCTTCTGTTTTTAGTCAAAAAAAAGTTTTGAAGTTGTTTAAATTAACTATACTTCATTTAAATATTTAGCAAAATTTTTGATGGCAGCGAAAAGTTTTTTTATGTTAGTCAATTAAATGAAACACATAAAAAAAATTTTTTTTTACCGTATAATGTCAAACGGTTGGTTTTTAAGAAACATCAAAAAATCGTCTCTAGTTATATTGTAAGAAATGTTATAAAATGACGCGACGATTTCTACTTCTACTCTGAAAAAGTGCTGTTATGATATCTTGCCGTTGCTAAACAAAAAGTCATTCGAATGGTGTATGTAGTAATTAAAAAACCTAAAGTGGTTCATACCTATAAAAAAAATTTCAAAGGAAACTAGTTATTTTAAGTGCTTTTTTTAGTTAATCTATATAAACCAACGAACAATTTCCATTAAAATAAAAAATAAAAATATGTATACAATTTTGCCTCATTTATTTATGCTCAAAAAAACGAAATTTAAATCTGCGATTAAGCAAGAAAGACTTGCTTTTTGAACCTAAAATTTTCAGGCTATCATTATTAGATAGTTAGACAGGAGTTAAAGCAGATTCAGAAACTTCCTACTTGTTTTATAAAAATTGTAAGAAAAGGCAAAAATTCAATAGTGGTGTATACAAGAAAAGCTATTAAATCTACATTTTTGAAAATGTTGCCATGGTTCTGCTTCAACTCCTTCACAATACCACTACAATTAAACCCTGAAAATTTCAAGTCTACTATCAGATGGAAAGATATTTAAAAAGAAAATAGGTTAAAACTAGATAACAAACAAAAAAATGCAATAAAACAATTTATAATGTTATTTTAAAGTATGAATTGGAATGGAAATAAGTATTTTCTTGCTTTTTCAGCTTCAATAACACTTTTTCCAACTTGATAATGCAATTTTTCAAGCTTGTAATGAAATTTATTTCAACATGAAGGAGTCGTTGCGATGGTGTTGCTAAGGGCATGATTTTTATCGGGTTGCATAAAAATAAATTCAGTCAACATATTCAATATTTTTATAAATTCCAATAATATATTTGAATTTATTACAAAATTTTGCATAATAAAAAGACAAATATTTTTTTTGGTATTTTTGACTAAAAATAAGGGTATGAACCTTTCTGTTTTAAAAAAAGTTATTAATAATATTGGCAGTTGTCCAGAATGTAACAGTTGTATTGTTGTTACAGATGACAACAATAAACGAAGTGGATTTTCTCACAAGTTGAATTTTAAACGAACCAAATGTGAATTTCAATATTGCACTTGTACATCTGATAATGTTAAAAAAGCTGTACCAAAACAAGGCAGAAACTATTTTGATATCAACCATAGAATGGTTATTATTTTTCGTGAAATTGGCAAAGGACACCAAGCCTTAGTGGACTTTGCAAGAATTGCAAACACTTCTTTTATGAATAACAATGCGTTCAACAAAATTAACAACACTATTAAAAATGCATATAAGTTATAAGAAGAACAATCCACAAAGGTAGCAGCAATAAAAGTTAAACATAAAGTTAAAGAGGAACACATTGGGTTGGGAAAAAAACTAATGAGAGTTTCTTCAGATGGCTCATGGCGAAAACGCAGACATGTTTCAATGAATAGTGTGGTGACCACAATTTCAGAAAGACGATATATTGATTTTAATGTCTTTTGCAAGCATGGTAGGGGATATAGAATATGGAAAAATACCAAGCCAACCAGGTTATACTGAATGGAAGACTAATCATATTTTCTTCTTAAATCATACAGCATCGTCAGGGGCAATTGAAAGTGCTGAAGTTGTAAAGATATTTAATTGCTCTGTAGAAAAAAATGATTTGATTTATAAATATTCTTTGAAAGGTGGGAATTTCTCTGCATTTAATGATGTTCTTAACGGTAATCTATATGGAAAGTTTCAAATTGAACCGGAAAAGTTAGAGTGTGTTGGTCATATTCAGAAGCGCATTGGTACAAGACTACGTAACCAAAGAAAGATAAACATCATAGTAGTCGGTTAACTGGAAAAGGAAAATTGACAGAACGCGCAGTTAACAGAATGCAAAACTATTTTGATATGGTTGTTAGACAGACTGTAGCTAATAATTTTTTAAGTAAAAATGAAAAGGTATACCAAATGAGAAAGAACATTTGCGCAGTTCTTTACCACTGCACTAATTTTCCGGATCAGTTTCATCGCCACGTATTGTGTCCAGTGGGTCCTGATAGCTGATGTAAATGAAAGAAAGGAAACTCTGCAGGTAACAGCAACTACACACCAAAATTTAATTTACCAGTATGGATATATGATATTATTAAGAAAGAGTTTGAAGAATTTATTAATGACAACTTATGAAAAAATGCACTCATGGTCAAACACAGAATTCTAATGAGGGACTTAACAGTATTATATGGTCCAGATGCCCAAAAAACATTTTTAATCGCAAAGTTTTGTTTGAGTTGGGAGTGAACTCAGCTGTATTGTATTTTAATGAGGAAACTGCTGGTGTTCAGAGATTAATGAGTCACCTCAACCTTGGGAATGGTGGAAAATCTGCAGTGTCCTTATTTTACAGGGATCAAAAATGCTATACCAATATGAAAAAAAAAGACATTTTAGAAAAAAAAGTTGAAGAATGCATTTAAAAGCCATTAATAAGGGTTGGCAAGATGAAGAACAACAACAGGAACTTTATAAACTGCACTCATCTAGAAGAAAAAAGAAAAAACTCATTTTGAAATTTTTTTTAGTTATAAAATGTTTATTATTGTTTTTCAGCATTCGCTTTTTTGCGCAATTTGTAATTTTTGAAAAATTATAACTTTTTAATGCCTATAGCTTTTCCAAATTTTTAGGATATGTTCTACATATAATGATGGAGAGCCTGTTGCAAAGCTGATGCCAAAAACAAAATACTAAACGAATTATTGACATTTTTCGATTTGATTTCATTAGCCAACCCTACCAATTTTGGCTGTTTTTGCCATAAAAATCAAAAATTATAACTTTTACTAACAATGTAGCAGTGATTTTGGTACAGGTCTTTCATTTTATGTGCATGAAACGTTTTGCAAAATATAAAGCACTAATTTCTTGTGGTTTTAAATTATTGTTTTTCAAAACGTCTTCCAAAATTGACTGAATTTGCATCCTTTTTGACATATTTTCACAATTTTAGAAATAAATTGTTGTAAAATGACACTTTTATTGTTTTTCAAGTTATGCCCTAATACACTTTTTAATTTGAAATTATGAAATTTGGGAATTTTATTTTTTTTAGTGGTGAACCTCCTTAACGTTATTTATAAAAAAGCTACTTATAAATTTGTATGGTACTTGACCTAATTTAAAGTTTAGCATAAACAATATATTTTGCTAAATGTTAATTTGATAAAGATTAGGCCCATTTATTTGTTTGAATAGGGTTCAGCATGTGTAAATTTGTCTTTATGGTAGATTAGTCTTATAGCATATTTCTGACGTTGATAGAAATCTTTCAATTTGGTTATATGCGTACTCGTCCAAGCTATATTCGTGTATATGAGGTAGCTACGAATAAAAAGAGGAATAGGACTTGCCTTATGAAGTTGACCTACTTTTGTTTGATACTTTCGTGTTTATAGCATTTATGTGAGCTTTCCAAGATTTTTTTTTTTTTTTTTAGAACTTCATCAAATTAACACATCGTTACGTTATAACTACATGACATAATATAATGCAACGTAAAAAAGTATAACATAGTAACACCACGTATAATATAGCATAACAAAAAATGGTTTAACAAGGATAACTAAGTATAGCGTAAATTGATTGTGTTTCTTAACATAAAAACTACCAGTATTTTTTAAAAATAAAAGAATAAAAATAAGAAAAGAAAAAAAAAGACAAGAAATTTTTTGTTACTTCAGATATATACATGCCGTTGTAAAGGAAAACTCGTAGAAGTCTATGAAGACTTATCATCGAGTAGAAGTCTATGAAGACTTTTCATCGAGTACCTCTTTAAATGATTAAATAAAGTCTATTTCGTTTTTATATATAGTCAAAAATGGTTAAACAATATACTGTCAATGATACACATAAATATTTTAGTATATATTTTAATGTTAAGTTTAATACATGTCGATATAATTGTTGATATTAAGTATGAGGTGTTTTAATTTATTTTTCAAGTTGGCAGGATTATTTAATACTTAAGTTCTATATTTTTGGACATTATTTTATTATATAGGTACGGAAC